GTTTCTGTCATATAGATCATGTTTGATTAGATGTACATTGTCATTTCACATACTATTGTAATAATGTGTCAATTTACAAACTGAACCTGCAATATGTATTTATTAACATGTTTAGGTAGAAAATTTGTGATTAGCTTTTGAAATCATACACTTTTAAGTAAGACCAGCGAATAATGTACTATTGATACAAGAAAATTACATGTCTCCGTGGCATTCTAAATCAAGATGTATGCATCAGAAATTTAAAAAAACAGAAGTTCTCTTTGTACTTAATTCAGTTTTTCTTCTTTTTCCACAACTTCACATTTCCTGACTTGCGGGTTGTTAAAAGTAAGGTTTTTAAGGTGTGATTTTTTAATTTGATCTCGAGGAAGTAAATTTTGTATTTGGTTGTAATATTTTTGTATGTTTATGCTTATGTATGTCCCGGGTAGACCGCAATTGTACAGTTCCACTTACCCTTTATCGACTGTGTCTCAAATACATACCTACGACAATATTGTATTCTTGTCTCTTATGACATGAAGACTATTTCTGAATTTGGCGTACAATATTTCACATAGGTACGTTGTTTTCAATACATGACCTTAACGATGGACTTTGAAGATTCTTCAACATCAAAGAATGTCAAAATTTCTGCGTTTACCTGAGTACATTCGTACTGATATATAGAGATAAGGACCCTAAATTGAGTACATAAGTTCCTAATTAGTAGCGTAGAGCCAGGTGAAAGTAGGTACTTACTGTATACTCGTGGAAGTTCATTGCAAATTTGTTTTTCCTGGGCCTTTTTCCAGCTTCGGGGGATTTAGATTTCGTCTATCCGTGCCGGACACCCACTGTGTCTCTTATGGGTAGACATATTAACCTTTTACACTACACACAAATGCAGGCTCCTCGATCTGTAGCCCGCAGATTCCATTGGCAAGAATTCAACCCCAGCAACTACAGCACTGCTGGAGTAAGCGAGAATGAGAATTGAATGAACATTGAGAATGAAAATTACAATGAGCCGTGTGTCACTTGATCAAAAATATTGCACCCACTGTACATTCTACTGCGATCTTTCCGCCCGCCCACTGTGATGCACTGTTGCGCAGAACCCTCTGCGCAATCCCAGCTCTGTCATCTTCGCTGAGAAAGGCAGCTGCGCGCGCATCTGTCTACTTTCTTTTCATGAGAATACATGTTGTGAGGAATTGACAATTGCATGTTGGAATTATTGATTTTCGAAAAATTTTGTTTCACAGTTGTGGTAAAGAATTTTTTGCTGCGCGATTACTTTGAATACGGAAGGGGAGGGGGAAGCGGGACTCGAACCCGCAATTCTTCAGACCGATTTATTTATTTATTTATTTATTTATTTATTTATTTATTTATTTATTTATTTATTTATTTATTTATTTATTTATTTATTTATTTATTTATTTATTTTGTTTCTTAGTGTGTTCGTTCGTTCGTTGGTTTGTTTATTGAAGTTTAGGGACCTTTAAACTAAAGTCATTGAGAATATTTGTGAGTGTGAGTGATGATCTAATGAGTAGATGTTAGCGATCTTGATGAGGGAACATGGTGGAATGAGAGACAGGCGAAGTGGAGAACCCCGAGGAAACCTGCTGATTGCTCGCCTTGACCACTACAAATTGCACTTGCAGTGAGCGGGGGTCAACCCCGGCCCCAGAGGAGGAAGGCGAATGCTTTAGTCATTGCGCCAAGGCTGCTCAACTACAAGCATTGCGGCCAGATGGCCTGCGCTGGATCGCTGTAGTTGCCCGCGGGCCTCTCGCCTTTCACTAGACTAGAACTGAAGAAGTTGGTCTACCTCCTGCTCCGCTGGTGGGAGATACCTGATTGGGAAAAACCACCATGCATACCGGCGCCATATCTCACCATCTAACGAGGATCACCACCATTTCCCCATAAAACAGGCATTACGCTTACGGGACTAAAGACCTTAGCAGGTGACGCACCCGGAATCACTAATCAACCAAACCGATCGCTTCTCCTGCCCTCTCGCTTAGCTTACTTGACTGAGCACCGCAGATACTTTAGTCCGGTTTAAACACTTGGCACTGCAAGGTCACGACCTGGACGGAGAGGGGAACACTGACATCCAATTGAGAGGTCTTTCACGACTTAAAAATTTTAGTATCTGAGCTGCCGATTGTATAACATTGTCTCCCTCTCCTTACGTCCATACGGCTCGTGATCTTGAAGTGCCACTACGTTTAAATCGTCCGATGTAGTGTAAGCGATGAGCCAGAGGGTGCCATTTAGTCCGCCCTGCACACGAGCGGCCACTTTGGCAGCTCTGCATCATCGACGAGCCCCTCCCACACTATCGTCTCCACGTCCGTGATTCGGCGTTCAGCAAAACTCTGGAGGGGTTCATTTCCTGAGCAGGAAGCGACTCACTTGCCTGGGCGCGGACTCGAGGAAATGGCGCGCGCGCGGTTCGGTCGGACGTGAAAGGCGTGGGCGCGAGGCCGAGATGCGTTATTGACAAACCTGCTCGCGGTCACGGACAGAGTACAAATCGCGTGGCGTATTTAGTCGTGAAGAGAAATAACTACAAAACTGTTTCGGAGAAGGAGAAGAGTTTCGCCGCCGTCCTTCTCGCAGAGTCATTCAATGACGCAAATGAGAAGTCCGATGATCGAAGACACAAGCCATGACGACAGGAGAGCGCACTTAACTCTCGCACGTGTTTTATAGCTTCACAGTAATTGTATGTAATCCTTTTTACGTCTTTGCGCCTTCTGGAGCCTACAGACGTCCCCCGCGCTGGCTCGGATGTTCTGCAGGTCGAGCCACCGTGATCGTACCCATTCGTGATCGACATCGGTAAGTCGGGTCGACGATCGGATCGACATAGTAATACATCGACTAAAACATCGTTTATTTTAAACATCGATGTTTTAAAAATGTCTCTTTCTGCATCATCAACGAGCCCCTCCACCACTCTCGTCGTCTCCACGTTATAATTTCGAGACGTTTTTTAGAAAGTGGTGTTTGAGCGTTTCTTAAAATGCGGAAATTTGAGCTCATATTCACAGAGAACTGTTGAGTTTTCGAGAAACTTTATAGGACATTATTTAAAGCACATGTATAAATGTGCTTTAAAAGCACATGTATAATGTGAAAAAAATGCCGCTAATGTAAATAATAATGACGTGAGATAGACAGCTCTGCAGCACAAGTTGGCGCTTCCTTTAATTCAATTTCCATTCCAACAGAGGTCCACCCGACCTTCATTGTTGCTGGGCGTTGCCATGTGACGTAGGGCGACGCCGCGGAGGACAGGACGGGCAGGGCGCGCGAGAGAAACAGACACAGAAATAGAGACATAGACAGAGGGACAAAGACAGACAGGGAGAAGGTGAGGGAAGGACAATTATATATACATATACATATACATATACATATACATATACATATACATATACATATACATATACATATACATATACAATTTAAGGAGGCGGTTTTGATTCTAGATCTATTAGGAATAAATTAAGCGACATATTTCACTCCGGAAGCATTTTTCCGGAAGCTGTTTTTTCATTGTCTCGACACTGGGGATGCCGTTTTTAATTTTTGAGTGTGAAAATAAATATATTCAACAAAGCGAGCAAACCGTCAATAAGTGCGATACAATTTAGATATTTTATTCTCTTCAAAATCTATTTTTGAATCGACGGGAAGAGCAGCGAGCAACTGTTGTTTCCACCATGCGAAGCAAAGGGATCGACCCAAGTGCCCTTGCAACCACTGTGATAAGTGGCAAGGAAAACTTATTGTAGAGTGGCAGTGTGCTTCAACATTTTGTGAATACAAAGTAAGTACTTATGCATGCAATTAGGATTTTGTTTTGTTTAAAAGTTGTGCATTATACTTAAATATTTATTTCATGTTTTTGTACTTTGCGATTGCTGGATATTTTTAGCTGCTTCTATTCGAGCGTGGTAATTTCTGATGCCAAATCAGTTACCAAGTAGTTACCAAGAATGAGTCTATTAGTGTTAGGTTGTGGGATCTGCGCCAATTCCCAAAAACATTATAAACCCTTTACCTACATTTTTTACTACCAAACCAAACTCACGTTAATAATTTATGCTGTGGAGCAACTGTGTTTCATTCAAATTTAAAAAGATAAAAATAAACGTACTTCATCAATATGTATGATTTTTTGCAATATTTTTTCTTGATTACATTGATTTTGATTTATTAACATCTTCTACTGTATATCCACATGTGAATTTTGTTTTAATCCCCATACTAAACCATAGAATGCAATGGCCGCAATAACGTTAGAGCAGATATTTTCTCACTATAACAGAATTATGATGAATTGCAATTTGTAGATAGAATGACGCATTCACGAAGTTGATGAATTGTTTTCAGGAACGTGCAAGTCCATTGAGAAATTATTTGTTTGGGAGTGCAGTTGAACTTATTTGACTATTACATCTTAAAAAACAAAGATAAACTTTCTAGCTCTATAGGTGTGCAAATCTTGCACTGTTTTCTTTGACCAATTCTGAAAATGACTAATAAATTAAAATATATAACAGTGGTGTAATACCGTTAGAGCTAACATGTACTTGTTTACAACTGAATTGTAATGATTTATCATTTGTAAATATAATGTTTATATATATATATATATATATATATATATATATATATATATATATATATATTCAGTAGCGTGCAAGATCATTGACAAATAATTTGTGTGTGAGGCTTCGAAATTTGGAAGTTGAAAGGTATGCTTTAACGTTAATGAATGGAATATTAGAATATGTGTTTTGTGATGCAATATAATATATACTCATTGCTATAATATTTGACGTAATAGTTTACTTTAACGCATAACTGAGATGATATGATTTGTGATTTGTAGATTCAATGGCACGTAACTCTAAGGCGCCTGACTTGGGTGAGCGAACGTAAAAAAACAAAAGAAAGATGGAAACAACGGAAGTGGTTGGAAGTGAATGAAGTTGGCAGAGGATCGAAGAAACCAGAAGAAGCAGTCCACAGAGGCGTATACCCAGTACAGGCAAACCGTAGTGTGAGCAGACCGTGAGCATGAAGGGACGAATGCTTCAATACGGTAAATCTGTCCAGGAATTTTAGTGGGGAGAAATGTCTACGTGGCATGCGCATTGTAATGCGAGAAACGTTGCCTCCGAAAAAGTACAAGGTGGGTTTACTATTTTCTGCCTCAAAGACAAAATAAAACCTAATATTGCTTCCTCTATTCGGTTTCCAGAACTCTTACAGAAATTAATTTCCCGAAATTATGAAGAATCAAGAATATAACGAATTTGATTATAACGAATTTAAATATAAGGAATATTAGAAATTATATTAAGCTGTAGCACATTCCTAAGTGCAAGCAAATATTTTAGCGTTTGAAAACCGTGGGTCCGATAATAAAATTCATGGAACCATTCAGAGGGAACTCTACATCGTAATAATAACTATCCTTCAGAGTATATAAGTCGCTTTATTCTAGACTAGGACACAGCTTTACAATTCAGAATGAAAGTATTACTAAGGATTGTGAAACAAATTTAATGTCTTCACTGACGCACATGATTCACGTATGGCTGATGTGGAAGCAAATTTGAAACCAACCTGTTCTGATTCTGTTCCTACTTACCTTTTCCCGGGGGCCATTTTTTGATACAAATTGTTACAACCCATCTACAACTGGACAATTCGCTGCCGTATTTCGAAGTGAGGATGGACCTCACTCAACAATATTTCTTTCACAATTCAATCCAAAGCATCTGGTCATAAGGTAAAAAAAAATTCTGCTCTCAACTTTTATATTGATCCTATGTCTTATCCATTATTTTTTCCATGTGGAGGACCATCGTCAAAGCTTAGGCTGAGTCACGATTCTGTCCATACAACGACGGTTCGTAATGTAATGTTGATACTCAGTTGCAGTACAATTTCTATCGCTTATTTGTAAGAGATGGGTTCAACCTTTGGCACTGTCTTGGAAGACTGTTCCAACAATACGTTGTAGATGTGTATGACACAATTGAAGGGCCAATATTTGCAAGTGTGATGTATCATCAAAAACAACTTTCAGCTGAAAACTACCAAGGACTAATGGATTTTCATTTCTCAGAAGCCCATTAACGTTTTTGTAAACATTTCGAAATTACAAAATTGAAGGAATCGATTTTTGCCTTAAACAATGTCTGTTGTAAAAACTCAGAACATTTGAGTGACATTTTATTACTTGTGTGCCAATCATCTGTTCATTTATCAACTCTCTAACATCCACTAGCATAAAAGAGACCAAAGTAAACTTTCGAGGTTGGAATTTGTCAATATTTATCATTCTTAAAAATTAAGGAAAATTGAAGGAGAACGGGCAAGCAGGAGAACGGGCAAGCAGGAGAACGGGCAAGCAGGAGAACGGGCAAGCAGGATGACGGGCAAGCAGGATGACGGGCAAGCAGGAGAACGGGCAAGCAGGAGAACAGGAATATACGTTGTGCATACGTTGAGACAATTCGTGTGACAGATTTGTGTTCGGTAACAATAATAAATGCGTTGCTCGAATTATTTAGCCTGTTAGAGTTCCCGAGAGAGCTCCCGAGCGATAAGGGACAAGTGAATTGACAAACGAGCTCATAGATAAATTCGGTATAATAATTGTGCATAGCTACGTGCATCACTCGCAGAGCAATGCTGTAGGGCGCATGTGCAAAGCACAAAAACGAGTGTTGCGCGTACTGTGTTTAGACACGTCCGGAGTGGGAAAACAAGGTTTCGGCATGCGTACTACCATACATGAGAGCACCGGCTTTACACTTCCGGAATTATTTTTTGGTAGAAATATGAAAACACCAACGACGCTGTTATACAAGAAGTTACTGGGAATGAATGAGACATAAAGTTCTGACGTTCAGTATGTGTTCAATTTAAGTGAGTCCGCCGACGCAGAGAGAGTGCTCACGAGAAACTAGTACAGGAGCAAGAAAATAGTCTTGGTTTGATCAGAAGGCAGTTCGAAGAACCTTCAACTGCGTTGATCATGTCCTTGGGCTCATTCCAAATCGACCAAATACTTTGGAGGTGCAATAGGCGAGGCCGGGGCAAGTTGAGTCTCAGATTTCTGAAACGAATTACGTGGTACCGTTGCCGGGTAAACGACGGGGCACGGTTACCACGTGAAAATGCTTATTCCCTACCACCAGCGGACAGAATATGTAAACTTACTCAACGCTCGAGTATCAGACGAGGATGACGGTGACAGATACGCTGTATGATTTGAAACCCACCACTTGGATGTTGGCAGAGTGCTAGAAGGTACAGACGTCCAGGATGGCTATTGGTAATAAAGTATCACTCCCCTTTTTCTATTAGACCCGGCCTGGTGAATGCGGAAGTTTGCGACATCGAGCATGATGTTCTCAAACCAATTAGAAGTAGGCCGTATCGAATGTCCCCTCGACAGAACAACCTCTTATATAAATAATTATTTCAACAATGCGAAAAAGACGATTTAATGACTGTGCGACGGCGGGCGACGGCGGGCGACGGCGGGCGACGGCGGGCGACGGCGGGCGACGGCGGGCG